TGATCTTGGTAAAGGGTATCACCCAGTACCTTAAATAAGCCCTGAAGTTTTCCATGTCTCCGGAATTATTCACTTGACCCTCCCAAGTTAAATGCAATCTCTTGCAAAAAATCTTGGTCGTCTACTTAGTTGGAATAAATTAGTATGTTTTCTACAGCATGTAGAGGCAGCCACCTTCCTTTAGACACTGTTTCTAGTTTCGTGTTCTACTATTTATGCGCTTTATCACCTACAAAAAGTTTCTCGAACATTCATGTATGAGTTGGCTGTTCATATGGATCAATATATCACTTATTATCCATTCCTTTAAGGCTTGATTTATTTTCCTTTCCCTTCAGATTGTAAATCTCTTGAATGGCAGGAACCATGTCTAATTCCACGTCGAATTTCCAGCCTCTTCCTCAGTAACAACACCACTCAACAACTAGCTGTTGAGCTGAGTGAGCTCCCTGCCTATCTTGTAAAATTATTAGGGGCATACTTTATTTTTATGTTTATATCTCAAAACCAGGGATTTTCTGGGAAGTTAAGAATTCCCAGTAAATTTTGGACTACTCTAAAATGCACCAGAAATTACATGGTCACACTCGTGCAGTGAAAGAAGGCTTTGGCAGTAGCACAAGACATCAAGCAGAAGTAGGAAATGCAGTGAGGAAGAAGTCGTAATGTTTTCAACAGCTGCCACTATGGATCTAGGATGAGAGCTCTCCATGTGTTAAGAATGAAAGAGAGATTACTCCAAGGTATATAAGTAATGTTGCTCCCAGGAAAGGGGAAAAAACATGCAAAGAGGAATTTTGAAATCAAACAGCATTTGCTTACTTTGAACTTGTACTATTTGTCCCTTTGTCTAATTTGGCACAAAAATTGAAAGCCTGGTAGTATTCTTACATCCAGTATTAGAACTCTTGATATGCTGTTTAACTCTCTACATGTGTAAGTCCTCACTATACCTAGTTCTTTTATCTCTCATCATGCTATGGCACCAGCAAATGCCCAATAGCATGATCTTGAAGTTATTTGCAGTTTATCCTTATCTTTATTTGTCAGTCTTCAAGTCCCATAAAGTCTTCCTCTTTTTTTTTTTTTTTCTTTTTTTGAGACCGAGCCTCGCTGTGTTGCCCACGCTGGAGTGCAGTGGTGCGATATCTGCTTGCTGCAAGCTCTGCGTTCCGGGTTCACACCATTCTCCTGCCTCAGCCTCCCGAGTAGCTGGAACTACAGGTGCCTGCCACCACGCCTGGCTAACTTTTTGTATTTTTAGTAGAGACAGGGTTTCACCATGTTAGCCAGGATGGTCTCAATCTCCTGACCTCATGATCCGCCCGCCTTGGCCTTCAAAAGGGCTGGGATTACAGACGTGAGCCACTGTGCCCTGCCAAGTCTTCCTCTTAAATGGTAGTGAGAGCGATGAACTGTCCTCCATGCCCTTGGTCACTACCTTAGGGTGAGTCCTTGTATCTCTCATCTGGACTCTTACCAAAACCTCCTTCCTAACTGGTCTTTTTGCCTCATTTTAGGCCCATCTATCCCAACTTCCAACACACCCCAGACTCTAGAGAGACCTAGAACTTACATTTTATGTTTTAGAATGTAAATATTGAACATATAAGGATAAGATGTTTAAAATTTGTGTTTGGGATCTGAAGGACCCATTTACGGCTTTTTTGTAGACTAAACAATGAGAACATTTTTGAATTAGTGACATTGTTAATTAACAGAGAGCTAAGATGTCTCTTGGTATTTAATAGGCAATCCTCAAAAAGTTGGGTTAAAAAAAATGCCACCACGTGCGTGTGTTTAAGTACCTCATTACTAACAGAGAAAGAATATTCAGTTCACATTTTAGGGGATCTCCTGCTCCAGGATTACTGAGAGTCCTCTGGAGTTTGCGTGGGCTCCGGTGAAGTTATAAGCACACCGTTGACAGGAGGGCATTTCTATGAGGGAAGGCCAGTATCTTTACAAGAACGTAAGCTTGTGGGAGGAGGTGGTAAACGAGGAAGCAGTGGGGACATGAAGTAAAAACGCACTACTCAGCCAGACCAGCTCAATCAGTCCTGGTGATGAACAAGGTGAATCAGCTGCTCTACTCTTACGGCCTGTTAGGACTGATGTATTCAAATTAGGCAGCTGCATACACAGTATGCACTGCACAAACCCAGGGAAGCTATTTGCATGGGAGTCTGTGTGAATACCATTCTCTGGGACTGTGTAGTGCTAAACCTCTATGAATATATGTAGCAGTCCTGAGTGACATGTACGTGGCACATCTCTGTCTACTTTGGCAATTTAAATTATCCTGATGATATCTTCGATAATAGAAATAAACATTTATGGGATATCCACCAATTATCTCAAAAACTTATTTTAATGTACAAATTTTATATCTGAAGATTTGCACATATTTCAAAATGCTTATTAGACTTCTGTCATTGCCATTCATTTATTTGTTCTAAAAAATAACAATTGAGCTGCTAAGTTCCAGGCATGATTCAAAAGCCTGGTTCTATAAATGTATTGAGCACCAACTACAAATCTTAGAAATACCATTAACTGGCTGGGCGCGTTGGCTCACGCCTGTAATCCCAGCACCTTGGGAGGTTGAGGCGGGAGGATCACGAGGTCAGGAGATCGGTCCCATCCTGGCTAACGAGACGGTTAAACCCCATCTCTACTAAAAATACAAAAAATTAGCTGGGCACGGTGGTGGGCACCTGTAGTCCAAGCTACTCGGGAGGCTGAGGCAGGAGAATGGTGGGAACCCGGGAGGCGGAGCTGGCAGTGAGCCGAGTTCACACCACTACACTCTAGCCTGAGTGAGAGATCAAGACTCCGTCTAAAAAAAAAAAAAAAAAAAAATACCATTAACTGATTTCTTTAAACTATCAGCTTATGTTTATATATTTTTCGGTTTATGCCATTTTATAATATGAAGATGTCCTCTATATCCCCTTTTTTTTGAGATGGAATCTGGCTCTGTCGCCCAGGCTGGAGTGTGGTGGCATGATCTCGGCTCACTGCCACCTCCATCTCCAGGATCCAAGCAATCTCCTGTCTCAGCCTCCTGAGTAGCTGGGATTACAGGCGCCAGCCACCGTATCTGGTTAATTTTGGATTTTTAGTAGAGATGGGGTTTCACCATATTGGCCAGGCTGGTCTCAAACTCTTGACCTCAAGTGATGTACCTGCCTCAGCCTCCCAAAGTGCTGGTATTACAGGTATGGCCCACCGTGCCTGGCCTCTAAATCCTCTTTATTTCATAGACAATCATCTATTAAAATCTGAAGATGACATTTGGTTCTTTCATTTCAGACAATTCAATATAGTAGGATGCCTCAGTGAATATAAAGCTTTTATATAATTTTTTTCCTCCTGGCATTATCAGAAGAGGTAACAGAAAGTTAAGTTGGCTTCTTTAGGAGTCTCCTGGGAGCCCTAGGGAAATCTACCCTGAGTAGAGTGGGTGCAAGACCCCGCTGGCCAGAAAAGAGAGTATAATTATGCTTCGTGCCCTGGATCATTCTGTAGAGGAAAGCTGCCCTCCAACCAGAAACATCTAATTTAGATTGTTAAATGAGCAAGAAATAACTGAAAATTTGTTTGTTGTTTGTTGTTGTTATAGCAGCAAGCTTTACTCAATGAATTAATTGGAAAAGTAAATAATATGACCATATTTGCACCCCAAATTTGTGGAGCTGCTCATACTAACAATATTAAATTCTTTTTTTCAATAGCTTTTAGGGTACAAGTGGTTTTTGGCTACATGGATGAATTATATAGTGGTGAATTCTGAGATTTTAGTGCACCCATCACCCAAGTAGTGTACATTGTACCTAATGTGTAGTTTTTTGGTTTTTTTTTTTATCCCTGGCTCCCCCCCCCACCCTCCTGCTTCTGAGTCCATTATAGATAAATGATATAAAGTGATATAAAGTCCATTATATCACTCTGTATGCCTTTGCATATTCTAGTAATGTTAAACTCTTAATTTCTGAACACGCAATTAAGTGAGCCTCTGCCTCTAGTAGTCTTTACAGTTGACCCTTGAACAACCCAGTTTGAACTTCGTTGGGCTGCTATGCTTGGATTTTCTTCTGTCTCTGCCATCGCTGACAGTACGACCAACCTCTCCTCTTTTTTTTTTTTTTCAACCTCTCCTCTTTCTCCCCCTCCTCATCCTACTCAACATGAAGACGATGAGGTTGGAGAGCTTTATGATGATCCACTTCTACTTAATGAAGAGGAAATATATTTTCTCTTATGATTTTTCAATAACGTTATTTTCTCTAGCTTACTTTATTATAAGAACACAGTATACAATACATATAACAAACAAAATAGGTGTTAATTGACTATGTTATCAGTAGGGCTTCTGGTTAACAGTAGACTATTAATGGTTATGTTTTTGGGAAGTCAAAAGTTATGCTTGGAGTTTTGACTGCACACGCAAGGGTTGTTCCCCTAGTTCAAAGGTCAGCTCTATTACATGGCTTCCAGGTCTTTGATGGCTGTCCTATGCCTGAATGTCACTGCTGGAAAACTGTTATGTGCAGTTCCAGAAGCTGATATACTTAGTAAAAAAAAAAAAAAAAAAGTGGGGGCTACTCAGGAGGAATCAGTATACACATACATATGTAGAATCACACACACACACACACACCCCTACACACCTACTCACACATGTTACAAAATAGTAGGATGCAGAGTTCCATCATTTGAAACTCTGGAAAAACTTCCACCATTTTTACATTATCATTACCAGCATCAACATCTTTCTCTCCATTATAAGTCAAGACATTGGAAAAAGTCTGAAACAGTAATCTTGACTATTCTCAGTAACTCAGGAACCATGAAGGAGGAAGAATGAACGAGTTGTCCCCTGAAGATGGTGGGTTCTCCTTTATGCATGATCATCACTATCTCTCTGCTATGTCTGTCCTGTAACTTCATGAGGGGTGCAGCGTCATGCCAGACATCTGTGTTTGGATGGCCCTCTGGCTCCTCCACAATTACTGCAGAGTCACAAGTGGAATTTCCGCCTGGTGTTTTATGTCAGAATCCGTATGAAAGACTGCAGCATGCTGAGTGAGCTTTCCATTCTGGCTGAGGATGTGATGCAGGGTCCACCCCCTGCAGGCCACAGGTTTGCCTGGAGGCAAAGCATTCAGTCTTTCCATTGGCCTGACAATTTGAACCAAGCTCGAGGCCCACAGACAAAATGCAGTAGCAACTAGAGAGGTGAGTTTTGTTAAATTACAATAACATCCATGCATCCAGGGGAGCTGCAAAAGTCATTCCTGTCAGATGCACTCAAAATCGAAAGCCAAATTATTCCTGCCAAATGCTCTGAGGCTATTGAATAAAGTCTTGGACTATTTTAAATAGTAACTTAAAACCTCTAGTTTCATGGCTCAGTAATAAAATCGTGATAATTCTAATCAGTATCCTCATTAGTGAATGCTGGTGACTATTTGTTGAGTGACCACCATGTGCAAGTGCTTTGCTAGATACTTTATGTATGCCAGATATTTAAGCTTCATAATCGCTTTGTAAGGTAGATGTTATTATCCTGTCCTATCGCTGGAGAAACAGAAATTCAGAGCACATAAGCAACTTGCCCAGTGTTACCATAGAGATGTTGTCAGTGTACTTAAAGAATACATGGACTAGGCATGGTAGCTCACGCCTGTAATCCCAGCACTTTGGGAGGCTGAGGCAGGAGGATTGCTTAAGCTCAGGAATTTGAGACCAGCCTGGGCAATGCAAAACCCTGTCTCTACAAAAAAATACAAAAATGAGTGGGCATGGTGGTGGGCGCCTGTAGTTCCCACTACGTGGGAGGCTGAGGCAGGACGATCACTTGAGCCTGGGAGGTGGAGGCTGCGGTGAGCTGTGTTTGCACCACTGCCCTCCAGCTTGTGCTACAGAGAGATTCAGTCTCAAAAGAAAAAAAAAAAAGTCTTTGAAAAAAAATGGCTTAAGACTTAAGTATGTAAGAGCTACTTCCTAGCTCAGGGATATTTTAAACAAGCCTTTTATTGGAAAATTGTAAACATACAAAACTAGAGAGCTATACTCATCAAGCAACTCCTATCAGGAATAATTTGGAAGTAAAGGGTTTTGAATGATTTCTACCTTATTTTTCTTGGAGGAGAGCCAAGTCCTTAATAAGAATTTCTGCAAAAGAGGAGCCTGGGGCTGAATCTTATTTATAGAGGCAAAATACTATTTTTATTTCAATCTCACATTCTTACTCTCCACTTGAATTTTCGAATTAATGCTGAAATAGCAAATAATATGAAGACTTAATTTTGAGTTGTCTAGTCCTCCTCAGCCCTACTGCAAATCCTCAGCTTAGGTTTAAGGGAGGTTTATGCTGAGTCACCTAATAGACTCCTCTCTTGTTATAATCCACAGCAAGACTGCAGGAGTTCTTCATATTGTGGAACAGGCATAAGTCAACTTATATTTAGCAAATAGTTGATTTAAACTGAGGTTGATTCCGTGGTGCGCTGTGGCATGCTCATAGTGGCTCACAAGAGCTAATTGTACATCTCTTCCTCATTTCACATTTGGTGACGTGACACTGGTGACTTGAAATTGGCCACGATGAGAGTATTTATACCATGGAAAATTGACAAATATACAAATCAGGGCTTCTGTTCCTCCAGAGAGGTAGTTGTTAAATATTTAGCAGCACATTACTGGGTAGATTCTATTATTTGCTCAAAAGTATCTGCTGTCCAAGTATCTGCTGTCCTTCACTGTGGGTCTACTCCCCACTGCTCTTCCCTGTGAGACTAGTATATTTTTCACCCATCAGAAGTCCATCTTCGAGGGATAAAAGACTACAAATGGGGTGCAGTGTATACTGCTTGTGTGATGGGTGCACCAAAATCTCACAAATCACCACTAAAGAACTTGCTCATGTAACCAAGCACCACCTGTACCCCAATAACCTATGAGAAAATTAAAAAATAAATAAACTGCATAGAAGGCAAAAAGAAATAAAAGAAGTTCATCCTGACCACGTGACTTGCTTTGGTCAATGGAATGTAGCCAGAACATATGCCATTTCCAAGTAGAGGGATATGTGCCTTTTTTTTTTTTTTTTTACTTTTTACTTTGTCCCAAGCCAACAAGTCCCAGATAATGTCTGCTTCTTCAGTCTAAGTCCTAGAAAAAGATGACATGTTACAAAATGACAGCCAACCTGTAAAGGACATGGACATATGCAAAGAGCAAATCTTTCTTATTGTAAGATTTTGGATGTGTTTGTTGTTACTCCATCACGACTTAGGCTAAGCTAATTGATACAGCAATTAAGACTTATCACTGAGTTACTACCATAGCAGGAAACCTAAATTACGTTGCATTAATTCTGAGGCTTGGGAGTGGGAAGCAAAAAATAACGTTGTTGAGGGATGGAAAAATGGCAACCTATGTTATCTAGTGGCAAGGTATTGGGTAAAACTGTCACCTTTAATCCCTTGGAAGACAGATAATGCACTAAATGAGCTTATGGCTTTAGGCAAAGTTGTGAAACGGAATGTTACTCTCATGCCTAAGTTGCTGTGGGCTGCACGTAGTGAAATGATATGAAAGTTGAACTTAGGTAGGAATTGTCCATTTCGGGGAGATCAAAGGGAGTAAAAAGGGTCCAGAAATTTGAGAACTCAGAGGACTAGAGGGTGTAATTGATTATGATCTCCAAACAACAAAAGATAAAACCGGAAATGTCTTAAGTGACAAAGACTGACTAAAATTCAGCCTTGTGGCAAGGACCAATCAAAGATATTGTTCCTCAATTAAAACCTCTCAACTGATTACAGTGGCACCAATTATATCCTTCCAGTCAGACAAAATGGCTTAGGGAAGAGAGATTCTAAGTGTAGTTCTTTCACTGGAGCCAGATAAATTTAAGTTACCTGCAATTAAGTCTAGAAGGAATGTCGCAACTAGAAAAGAATTATGGATGTGGCCATTGGCACATGAGGCTGTTTGGAATCAAATAGATAAGAATGTGAGAAAGTTATATTGCCAAAAGAGTCACCGGCTCATGCTAAAACAGATTATAACTGAGACTTGAAATGACCTTTGGATTTCCAACTTTCTGTGGGAAGAAGACAGAGAAGCCTGGCCAGCTTCCAAAGAGGACATATTGTCCTTTACAAAAAATGCTTTAGGAGAACAATTGAAAAGGAAGGACCTCCCGGAGGACAGTGCCAAGCACCATGCCGAACAATACATCAGGTGTTACTGTTGTAGGTCCAGAATCAAGTCCTAATCAAAGAACATTTCCAGTCTCCATGGAAGGTAGTCTGCAACTTCTGCCCAAGGGCCTTTCAGAATTGCCATGGACAAGTGACTTCTACGTTCTTCCTCTCCTCTCACTTTCTGAATGGGAGTGTTTGTTTCAGGTATCCTGTTTCACCATGATACACTGGGCATATGAGGGGCAGATAACTTGTCTTTTTGATCCATAGGTTTTGCTCTCAGGAAAATGAACATCTGGGCCTGATGTAAAGAACTCCATGAGATCATGGAATTCAAGTCTGATGCTGTAACCGAATGGAATCTTTAGGTTATTTTTCTTGAGTAGGGCTGCCAGATTTTGTAAATTAAAATATAGGATGCCTAGTTAAAATGGAATTTCAGATAAACAATGAATAATTTTTTAGTATATCTCACTGTGCAATATTTTGGGCATACTTATCCTAAAAAATTACCCATTGTTGATCTGGAATTTAAATTTAGCTGGGCATCCTGTATTTAATCTGGCATCCCTATCGGAAAGAATAGATGTATTTTGCTTACAAATAGAGGAAAGTGGAGACTCATGACCCAGAATTCTGGTAGATTGCACTATTTATCCAAAACTTTGTTTCTCTTTTTTTTTTTAGGGCCTGCCTGGTGGCCCTCCCCGTAAGAAGGTATTCTTCCTGCTCCATTGACATCAGGCTTATTAGCCATGTTTCTGGATTTGATCCATGTTATGTGAGTGAAAATGATAATTGCTGCTTCCAGATAAAAACTTTAAGTGCCATCCTCTGATTCTAACATTTCTCGTGGGCCTCTATCACGATGCTCGTGTGCCACAGCTCAAGGTTGTTCCTTTGGTCTTGATTCTAGAATAAAGAGAACATGGAGCAGGGCTGCAGCTGATCTTCAAAGAGCATGAACACAAGCCAGACAGAAGCCATTGTTGTAAACCCTGAAGATTTGGGGGATATTATTGCAACACAACTCAGCCCAAACTGACTAATACAACAAGTTTCTATGTATACATGGAAATGTATGTGGTCTTAGCCTCCAGGTGGTTTTCATCATAAAACTAAATTACATCCTAATTGAAAAAAAATACAAGCACAAAGACAATAAAAATCACATGAAAGATTTAAATGTTTGAAGTCCTGTTTTTAAAAAAGGATGAATTTAGGGTGGGAATACAATATGTTTTTATTAAAATAAACATTTTATATCTTAATAAAAGTTTTCTTACAGTAGTAACATTTGAAATGGATAATTTTTATATTGGAAGCAAATAAACAAAAATGCACCTAGAACTTAATTAAGGTTAGTGCCGAAAGAAAGTGATGTGTTTTCTTTTCTCTGTGCCGTTGATTATAATACATACCATTGTTTATTTATAGATTCAAATTACTTTTATTCATTCACTATTCAACATGCTTGTAGATGTGTGAAGGATAGGAAAACGTAACCCCCAATAGGTGCCCGGCATTCTGACTCAAAAGTAGAGTTGCAGGAACGCTATAGTTTGGAGCCAAACAGACCTGGGCAACAATCCTGACCCAACTACATCATTACTTTACGATCTCTGACAAGTTTCTTAACCTTTTTGAACCTCAGTTTTCTTATCTGTAATGGATAATAAAATGATAATGCCTCTGTTTACAAAGCCTCTACTGTTTGCCAAGGTACTTAGGTGCTCCGCATATATTATTTTCTTGAAGTCTCACGACATGTAATGATGCAAGTATTTTCATCTTCATTTTACAGATGAGAAAAGTGAGGCTTCATGGTGTGGAGCAATTGGATATAAGTTACTTAACAGGGAGTAAGTGGCAGAACCAAGGTCCAACCCAGTTCTGCTTCACTGCAAGCTTATGTCCTTCTGTTGGGAAAGCGAAATAAAAGCATGCTTGGCATCATTTGTCATCAGGGAAATGCAAATCAAAACCGTCATGAAACACCACTTCACATCCACTAGGAGGGCTAGTGTAAGAAAGCCAGACAGTAACAAGTATTGGCAAGAATATAAAGAAATTGAGATCCTCATATTCTGCTGGTGGGGATGCAAAATGGTGCAACTGCTTTTAATAGTTCCACAACAAATTGAACATAGAGTTATCATATAGCCCAGTGGTTCCACTCCTGGAATAAAGCTCTTCAACTCCGGGACTCAAAATCCCCTGGGGATCCCCTTGCTGTAGGTCTTGAGAATTGCAACTTGGGGGCAGGGAGCAGTCCTGAACTGGTCATCTTCCTCCTCACCACCTCGCTGTGCCATCTCCTCACCTCATTCTCCAATCCCCAAAAGATGACTACTGATGACCAGTCTCCAGGTCAGTGGAGAACGTATGTGGAGGAGTGCGGGAGGGATAACAAAGCATCCTGGGTATATACCCAATGATTACACACACACACACACACACACACACAATGAAAGCATGTCCATAGAAACTTGTACGTGAATGTTTATAACCCCATTATTCTTAATGTCCAAATGTGAAAAGTTCAAATAGATGTGAACTGAAGAATGGATAAACAAATGTGATATGTCAATACAACCGAATATTATTCTGTCATCAAGTAAGTGAAGTTCTGATATATGCTTCCATCAATACAGATGAACATTGAAAACATTATGCTGAGTGAAAGAAGTCACTCACAAAAGACTACATATTATGTCGCTTATGAAATGTCTAGAATAAGGAAATCTATTGAGACAAAAGGCTGACAGTGGTTTATTAGGGCTGGAGGGAATGGGGAGGTCAAGAGGAGAAATCCTCCAAAAGGTTTCTTTTTGAGCTGATGAAAATGTTCTACATTGGACTGCGACGATTGTTACATATATCTGTGACTATAGCAAAGACCATTACATTGTAAACTTCAGATGGGTGAATTTTATGGTATGTGAATTGTATCTCAATAAAGATTTTTTTTTTCTTTTTAATAAAAAGAGAACATAGAGCAGGGCTGCAGCTGATCTTCAAAGGGCATGAACATAAGCCAAGAAGAAGCCGTTGTTGTAAGCCCTGAAGATTTGGGGGGATATTATTGCAACACAACTCAGCCCAAACTGACTAATACAACAAGTTTCTATGTATACATGGAAATGTATGTGGTCTTAGCCTCTAAAAAAAAAAAAAAAAAAAAAAATCTGAAAATCCCTGGAACTCGGGGCTCATGGTGCATAGTCAATGAAATGAATGGCTGTCTTTCTTCATCCTTCCCTCTCCAATCTTTCGTTTTCATTCTCCTTCTTCTCATTCTCCTCCTTCTCTCTGTGATTTACAAAGCTGGTCATGCAAAAAAACAAAACAAAACAAAACCCATAGGCTAGGAGTCAGAAGTCTTCGATTCTAGGTTCACATGTATGAGATTTTTTGGAAAAAACTCACATACTCTCAAGGAGCCTCAGTTCTCTCATCTTCAAGGGGGGATAATAACACCCTCTTTACCTATTCTGCTGGGTTCTTTTGTAGATCAAATGAAAGAGAGGCTATGGAAATCCTTTATATATGTTTTGAAAATTCTATCCAGTTGCTATGGGCTGAATGTTTGTGTTCTTCAAAATTTGTATGTTGAAACCTCATCACTGACTTGATGGTGTTTGGAGGTTAGGCTGTTAGAAGGTGACTGGCACAAATCCCTCATAAGAGAAGCCCCAAAGAGAGCTAGCTTGTCTGTTTCACCATGTGAGGACATGGTGAGAAGAAGCCACGTAAGAATCAGGAAACAGGTCCTCACCAGACATGGAATCTGCCGGCACCTTGATCTCAGACTTCCCAGTCTCCAAACTAGTGACAAATTACTGTTCACTAGGTGCCCACTTAATAGTATTTTATTATGGTAGTCTGAACTGACTAAGACACCGGTTATATGATGAAAATACCGTACTACTATCACTACTGCTACTACTTCCTATATTAGCTCATAGTTTTTTGAAGTCTTATGTTCCAGGTACGGTTCTAAGTTCTTTTCATCAGTAACTCTTCTAAGAGCCGATTTTAAATTTAGCAAAGGCAATAAAACACTTTCCCTGGTTTAGTGAGGAGTATTAACTAATTGGGGGTATAAACATAAAATGGTTTTGTTTTTCCAATAATTGCTACTACTCTTGTTCTCCATAGCAACCTTGGTTTCAATTCCATAAATTTCCTGTGGTTTTTGGTCAAGGGAACAGTTGCCTTTAGTTCCTCAGTCAATTTTAATATTTTGACCCTCTCCATTCCTGTCAGGACAGGTGGAACTTGTGGCATGGGAAGTTCAAGTGGCAGAGGGGGCCCAGTCTGTACTTGTCTCTACTCCTCCAGAGGAGGAAAGAAAGCAAGACAGATGCTCCCTCACGTGGATGTCCATGGTATAGTTGCTGTCCTCCCCTTGGGTGCCCATGACTGCTGTTCCTGTCCACTGAGCTTCATGAGGGCTGGGGTGCCTCCCTCACCAGGAGCAGACTCTGGCTGGGGCCCCCCAGCAGGAGGCACCATGTGTATTCCTCTGTGGGCCTTGTATGGACCTCCTTCCCCTTCTGCTGTATGGGTTCCTAGGGATGCCATTGCTCCAAAAATACTTGCTTTCCCAAGCTCTTCAACTCCAGGGCTCAAAATTCCCTGGGGATCCCCTTCCTGTAGGTCTTGAGAATTGCAACTTGGGGGCAGTCCTGACCTGGTCATCGTCCTCCTCACCATCTCGCTGCGCCATCTCCTTACCTCATTCTCCAGTCCCCAAAAGATGACCACTGATGACCAGTCTCCAGGTCAGTGAAGAAAGTGTGTGGAGGAGTGCAGGAGGGATGACAAAGCATCCCCAAACCTTGCAAATTCTTTCCTTGATTTTGGAGAAGAAATCCACTGGGTAATGCCCGCCACCCATTCACACAGCTCCGACTAGGAGTAACGATTTACTCCCTCCCCACACTCCTCTTATTTTGTCTTTGAGGGTGGGAGTGCTGGTTTTGCTGAAATGACTCTTCTCAGCCAGGCTTGTGAGAGTGGGAGGGCAGGGGGCAAAGGCAGGAAGGGAAGCAACCAGGCCTTTCTCTGCCTGTTCTCTGAACTCAAAGTATGGGGTACTAAGGACCTGGGTTCTCCGCTGTGGGCCCAAAGAGGAAACAACAAGATCCACTTGATACCTAATATCCTGTCACACAGAGGTACAACATCTCCAGCTTGAGGTGGTGTCCTGTGAGTGCTAGCAGCTCCAGGATGGTGCATTTACCACTGATGAAAACTAGAATGAGCCCTAGCGTTGGGGGAGCGATCTGGGAACTGCCCTCCTCTTTGCTCCCACAGTATCCTGCAGGTTCTATGATACAGGTAGTTAGAGCTACTCAGTAGGCTGCCTGTCTTCCCCTCCACTGCAGGACATGACTGTATTTTGTCCTCATCTGTTGCTATAGGTTGGATGTGTTATGTTTTTTTTTTTCCTTTCCTTGAGTTTCCATGCAAAACACATGTTGGAATTTAACTGCCAATGTAATGGGTGTTGGGAGGTGGGGCCTTTATCCAAACTTTAATTAGGTCATTAAGATGATTAGCATCCTTCTCTGGAGAGACTGGATTAGGTCTCTTGGGAATGAATTAGTTCTCGTGAAAGCCGGTTGTTATAAAGTGAGGCTGCCTCTCATGTTTGGTGTCTTTGTACGCTCCTGCTCACCCTTCCTTCTGCTTTCCACTGGGAGTCAAAGCAGCCCCAGGTCCTCACCAGATGGGCTGCTGGATCTTGTACTTCCCAGGCTGCATAACTGTAAGCTCCATAAACCTCTTTTTATTCCTTATAAATTACCCAGTCTTAGGTATTCGACAGAATTGAATTGCTTGGGTAGCAACACAAAACAGATGAAGGCATCTGTATTCCCAGGACCTGGGACAGCACCTGGTAAATGCAACCTATTCAGCAAATGTTCTCTAGAATCTTTAGAGATTTGGGAATATGAAGAAAAAAAAAAACTAGAAAAATGGAGTGGCAGATATTCTGGTTAAAAAATATTTCAGGTGAATTCTACAAACCAGGGTGGGTTTCAGACAACTGTGAATCATGAGTATACTTGTTGGGAAAAAAATTCAC